GGGGCGAGCTGGGGGGGGGTGCCGGCCCGTGCCGGGCAAGGGGGGGGGAACTGGGGGCAGGAGAAGGCGAACGGGGGCTTCGGCTGCAGGCAGAAACCGGGAGGACCCGAGGTGAAAACGGCCCGAATTGGCGTTGGTAAAGGGACTCCTTGTCTTTTGCGACTCCCGCTTGCATCAAACTAATTTATTTGGCACACCTTTTCACTTTTAAAAAAGACACACCACGCTCTTGAGTGTAGTTGTGCAATAAACAAAAGCATAGAATCAATACGGTTCGTATTGTCGGGATAGGAACATCTCACAAAATAAAGTACGTCGGGGAATTCTTATTAGAATATCTCTTGTTTTGCTTCCTAAAAAAAAAAAAAACCCACGGTAGCTTTCCTTATTTAATTTAATTTAAAATAGCCGGAAAGTAAACTATTATTTCAGCTAGATATTCCAAGCACTTCCGTCCACTTGGCTTTTGCACCGTCAACGGGATCTAGAATTCGGTGAAAATGTTGTAATTGAATCACAGTCCTAAGCATGTTAACTGGAGAGTCAGTCTTACTGAGGTTAGCCAGATTTACTTCCGAGTAAACATGTGGGCTGAAATAAATCCGTGTATGTCAGAAGGCCGTGTCCCCGGAAGGAAGCCTTCTTCCAAGCGGGCTTGTGTCTCCGGGAAGCGCGGCCGCCTCTGATCGAGAAGTCGGCCAACTCCTGGGATCCGGGACGGAGCCGAGAAGGGCGGGGGGCGTTGTTGAAGGACAGTCCCCGCTTTGGAGTTGACGCCTAGCGGTGATAAAAGACGCGGAGGGCGACTTCCTGGAACCGGCGCCGATCCCCAGGCGGGATCCGGCAGACTCGCGGAAGGAGGAGCCAGCACGGAAAACAAAGCCCCGCGGCCAGGTAAGGGCGGCGCAGGCGGATCTCGCAGTCGGCCGGTCCGTCTCTCCCCCCCACGCCTTGCCCTCAAGATGACCTCAGCCGGGAGTGAGTGGAGGGCGAGTTGGCCTGGAAAGCTCCGCCAGCTGGAACTAGGCCATCTCTCTCACGAGAGGAGAAGACCACCTCACCTTTCGGAGCAGGCAGGTTACGCTCGCACCTAGCGAGAACCATCGGCAGGGGTCTCCGAGCCTTGCAGGTGCCTCCTGGGGCAGTTCGAGGGAGGCGGAGAGCCTCTGCAGAGGCACTCCCAGCCCTTGGGCCCGAGGGCCGTGCTCAGCACCTAAGGTCGCACCTCCCTCGTTCTCACGAAGCTGTGGCGAATGATCACCCCCTCCCCTTCTTTGGATAGTAATTGAGCGTGGTGCTCCTACAAGCACAAGCGCCAAGGTCCCCGGAAGCAACCTCTATTCTCAAAGTCTGGGAAGCCTACTCTGCACAACCTCAGAGACACTGTTTTACAAGCATTCACACATGTCCCGCAGCTGTGGTGACTTTGGAGGGATAGAAAAGCGCAGCTGATTTGGAATCAGCTCTCTGAGCCGGAGCAGAAACGCAGTGAGGGTCTGAATCCACTGATAGACCAGAAGCAGCGCCAGGCGGGTGGCACCCAGAGCGCCCATGTCGCATATATTTTGCCTTGTGTACTGTACCAGAAGGGGAGCCTAGTTGATGAGCTCATCTTTCTACCTGTGCCACACGAAGCTGTTGATATTCACACCTTTTCCCATACGCAGAAAAGTTCTGCCGGCTCAAATAAAGGGCGCCGGGCAACTCCCATTCATTTAAATGGGATGCTGTGTGTCCGGTGTGCGTGGGTATGCACGCTAGTGCGCGCGTTCAGCTATCGCTTCCAAAACAACTTTCCAAAACTCACAAACGGGTTTTCTTGAATGCTGGGCTTGATTTTTCCGATCCTTAGGCAAATCTGGAGAATTTGATGATAATCCAATTTAATCCCATTGGAAACCCTCAAACAGTCGTTTAAAACCAAAGGCTTGATGATCGCTGTTACCTCGATAAGTTGGCTTTAAAAACTAATAGCTTCGGCTTAACTACTTTATTGAGTAGGCTGGACGTGGCGCGAGTTCCCTTTTGCGCTAGCGATTTTGCCTTAACGTCCGGGCCGAAAGCAAAGCGAGCAAATGAGCGAAAAAGCGGAAGGCAAAGCCAAGTGACGCTGATATACGTAAGGCTCGTTGCGTTCAGGGGATCTAACCGCTCGGTTTTATTATCTACTCTGAAGTAAGCCTCAGAGAATTGAAAGAGGCTGACTCCTAGGTAGGAGTGTGTAGCATTGCAGCCTGCGCAGGATCGGGCTCAGCAGTAGCGCGCATCCCCAGAAACCAAGTAGTTGACCTGCGCTTTCATTCCAGGCGCCGCCGGCCCAAAGCAAGGAAGAAATCACTCTCCCGCCCGCCTCGCCGCGTTGCGAGAGAGCAGACAGGCAGACCCGCACCTCAGGGAAGCGTTGGCGGGAACCTCTTTTTACGGGCCAAAGGAACGGGCAAACACCTGACGTCAGAAAGCCACGTTCCTCTCTGGCCAAGCTGCTTTTAGTGAAGGGACAGCTGACATGCTCAGAAGCCTCTTCATCGCCTTCCTTTGCCTGGCAATGTTTAGGTTTTCTGAGCAGAAAAAGGGAGGGATTTTTATTAACGTTGTCGTTCCCTCACCCCGCGGCCAATCCTGAGCTCCCTTAGGAGATCGCGCTCGCCTCCCTCAAAGGAAAACAAACAATACACGCAGGGGAAGAAAGGGTTAAAAGGGCTCCTTTTCCCACAAGATGTTGTGGGGGATGACAGGCGAGGTCAGATGCCACCTTGCTAAAAGCCCTGTTGCATGAACAGGGGTTGCGCAGCGTCTGCCTGAGGGGCTGCAGCGGAGAAAGAAACACTCGGCTTTTGTTCAAGTAGTAGTGCCAGTGAAGCTTGGGAGTGCGAAGCCTCCCACCCACTTTTGAGCGGGAAGTCGGATGGTCCCTGAAATCTCTCCCTTCTCTGGCAAGCGGTGCGTGTGCAATAGATGAGCCAGACTGGGCGCCGAGAAAGAGGGTCCGCACTCGTGGCAACGTTAGCGTGCTTTCATCCTCTGCAGAGCAATCGAGGAGATCCAGGGCCAGGCGCCTGGCCTATTCCTTCCCGCTGGCACAGAGCAAAGGGTTGACCCCGGCACGAGTTTCGCTGGGGGTCCTCGGTTCGGAGCAGCGCCTCCTTCCTTGAGCCCTCTCTGCTACAAATCTACCCTCCTGGCCTTGCTGTGGGGGGACTGTGCTTTATTTCGAGCACCTGACTGGAGCAAGACAATGAAGCAACCTTTCTATTATGGTACAAAGTAGCAAAAAGTGCAATCAAAAGCCAAGGAAGGAGCTTTGGGGTGTCAGGTTAGAAGGTTCTGCATACCAACCCTGTGAGCTGAGGCGCCCTGGAGCGCTAACCAAATTAACAAGGTGGCAATTAGAGATAATGGCAAGGCAGAAAACCCACATCCTTGTAGCTGCTGGAGTATTGAACGTAAATCAAATGGAAACATGCCATGACCTCAGGAACGTTTGCTAGGGTGTCAGAAGCGCCTGCACACAAAATATGAATGAGGTTCTCATGGGAAACTTGAAACACCTGGGGAGCTGTTTCTCATTCTGGGTTTAGAGAGAAGAAGCCCTGGCCAAGCCAGTATGACCGCCCACAAGGTTGAGCCTAGCCTAGAGATGAGAAGCAAAGCTATTTGCGTATGGTTGGCCTAGTAATGGATTTGTTTTGTTTGTTTGTTTTGGTGCCTTCAAGAAAGTGTTTGACCCCTGGTGACTGCCTGGACAAGTCCCTGCAGTTTTCTTGGCATGGAGGGTTTTGCCATTGCATCTTTCCTAGGGTTGAGAGAAAGTGACTGGCCCAAGATCACCCAGCTGGCTTTATGCCTAAAGTGGGACTAGAACTCACAGCCTCCCAGTTTCTAGTCTGGTGCCTTAACCACTACATCGAACTGGCTCTTTTGGATTTGTACCCAGGTTCAAAGCCCATCTGGGTCACAAACACACTTAGTTCCAATGAGATCAATGGGATTTATTCTCAACCAAATAAGTGGAAGTGGGGCTACTTCTTATTCCGATTTGGGTGAGGTATATGGAACTCCAATTTGGAAGTAAGGGCTGCAACAATCAGGAAGGCGGCGAGATGTCAACAACAAGGTGGGATTCTCTCCCCCCCCCCCATCTTATTGCTGCCATCTAGACTTTTGCAGGCAAGATAGCACTTGGCATTCTGCATCACTTCTGCACCTGTAAAATAGGGATATTGGAAACTGTATCCAGCACTCTGGATGACCTGAAGAGTGACTGAGGAGAGTAGGATTTTGTGGCATATAAAGTAAGGCTACCAGATCTGACCTGCAGAATTCCAGACACCCCTTAGATGGTTTTCTGTACTATTTATCTGCCATCTAGTGGCTGTTTGGACTTTTGCCACCCAGAGCTTCTAGACCTAATAGAAATGCAAAGATGGTTATTTTCAGAGCTTCCCTGTGGGGCAGTGTTCTGTGTTAACCTGAAGGGGGAAGGAATATAAACTTTGCAAGGAAAAGCCAGCTATACTGTAACTCTTGGACACCTACCTTATGCTGCCTTGCTTTTCCTCCTTTTCAGTTAGAGTCAGATGAGGAACTGCTCTACAACACTTGAAGATAAGCTTTTTCCAGCCTGACTTGAGTTTAAATCTTGCTCATCTTGACTGTCTCTCATAGATTGTCGTTTTATGATCATAACTGCTGTTTAGGTTTTAATTTTCAAGTGAATATGTATAAAAAAGCAATCAACAACTTAAATAAAGCAAAATAAAAATAGGTAAACCAGGGGGCAAGGTTGCTGCTCCTTTAATCAAGCCAATCATTTTGGTCTCTGCATACTGCATCTGGGATTCTAAGACCCCAGATGAGATGCTAAGGTCCCATTTCCTGCATTCTCTTTAGTCCAGGATTCCTCAACCTTGGCAACTTTAAGAAGGGTGGACTTCAACTCCCAGAATT